GTACACTTGCTTGGAAGGCGCCCCCATACCACAGGCACTCAGCCTCCGAAGGACGCAAAAATAATCGTAGGGGGGGAGGGTACCGAACGACGCATCGCGGGACGGGGAGGCGCGGTACACGGCGAACAGACGACGACGCTCAGAATGCAAAAACCCTCCGCGGCCTCCTCCAGGGAGCTACGCGTCTTGGCCGCCAAGACATGAAGCCGTGGCCGGGAGCTTGTTGACTCAACGGCTCCAGCGCCACCTGAAAAAGCAAGCGGGCCCGTGGCGTGGGGCGTGGGTTGCCGCCACGTGCCCCGCCGCTGCCGCTGCTGCACGTAACGGTTTTGTGCGCCGCCCCGCGCTGGGACTCGTGCGAGTACGACGCCTTGGCGCCCCGCAACGCCCAAGCGCCTCCGCCGCTCCGCGCCAACCCCCGGCGCGGGTGGGCGCACACCCCACCGCCACCTCCCCGCAGCGGCGGGAAAAGGCCCCAGGCGAGACGCCGCACACCTGCCCTCGGCAACTGGGTGGGGGGTGAGAAGACGCACGCGGGAAGGACTGTGGAAAGGCAAGAGGCAGGGGAGGGAGGCGAGCGGTGGCAATCAGAAAGGCGCCCGCCACGGTCGGAACGAGAAACAAAAAAAAGGGCGCCGCGGCCCGCTCTGCCTTGTGCTGCTCCGCTTCCTCGAGTTCAATGCCTTTTCGCTTTGGAATCTCAAGTTCTCCGCATGCCCGCGCGAAGTGGTTCCTCCTGCGGACGTCGTCTGCCGTCTTCCGCTGCGCCGCCCTTTTCAAGCGCCCCGCCAACCGCGTCGCCAATTCCTGGACAGACCCTGTCGAACTCTTCCGCATCAACGCTGCCGGGGGCGACAAAAGCCCCTGAGCTTTTCCCGCACGCGGCGCAGTGCAAGCTTGCGACGAGTTTGGTTTACGTGCTCTTCCTACTCGCTGCCAGGCCTCTAGCCTCCTGCGCCAGCCAGACTGCCGCCTCTTTCTTTTTTTCTTCATTTCGCACCCGTTCCAGCCCGAAACTCTCGCCCTCTTCCTCTTCCTCTTCCGCCCGAGGCAATGCCGTCTGCTGCCGGCAGGTGGCGCCCTGCAGCTGCGTCACAGCTGGCGCCGCAACGCACCCGGAGGAAACGAGCGTCCCGCGACGGAGGGCCCCGGCGCATTCGCACACGCACAGGGCAGCGCCGACGCACGCTCCTCCAATGGACGCCCCCACGCGACACACGCAGGGGCCGACCCGACCCCCCGCAAAATGGCCCCGGAGGAACTTTGGGGTTCCGCGGCACTGTGAATATATACATATATATACAACCTGCAACCCCGCAACGTGGCCAACGCCGCTGTGTGACCCTGATGAAAATGGACGACAACAACAGTTTGCTCCCCTCTCGTCCAGGGCGAGGATGCCGTCCACACCGCAACTACTCATACGGCGGCAACGGTGCCGGAAGGAAAATCAAACAAAAACAAAAACGCCGCCGCCGGGCCGTTACGCCGCACCCAAGACGCCAGTGCCTTGATGCTGGTCATCCACTCTGCATCCGGACACACATGATGGCTGTGTGCTAGAGAACATGCTTGCTTTCTTTTTTTCATTGTTGGTAAACTCACTTCAGCCTGCAAAAGCACACCCTTTTTTTTGCCCAAGCTCTCCCTACATACAGCAGTAAACTAAGAAACAAATGGGATATTATTTATGAAGTATTGCTGGCACGCAACCACAAGCTGGAATCATTTCTGATGCAACCTCGCACAAAAAAAAAGTTGCTACTCCAATATCACTGGCTATAATGATTCTATAGCGCATAGCAGAGTGATTTACTAATTATTGCCTCATTATTCACACACAAATATCCAACGATGCAAAAAATCTTCCCTAATAAAGTATTCCTCCTGCAACTCAAATTGCTACTTCTTACTTTTGACTCTTTGTTGCTGATCGTTGCTAACTTTGGGTTGTTGTACCAGTATTATCTTGTTTCGCTGGCTGTTGCTGATTTTGGGTTGTTGTGTCATTATTTATTTGCCCCTCTGTTTGTCGCTGATGTTGGGCTTTTTTTACGGATCCGACATCGTTTGCTGATATCGCTACCTGGTACTGATATACATCTTTATTCCAAGAGTCCTTAATCTTCTGTTCGTCTTCCGCTTTCTTTTTTTCTTTTGCTCCTCCCCGTTGTTTTTCTTTACAGTTTCCCCTTCTCCCCGCTTCGGTTCATTTTGCGCGACGGCAGCACATTTCTGCCACGTGTTTATTGGCGTACTGTCTTTATGCTGCACGTAAATAATCTCCCACGACAAGCCTTCCGCGAAAGTTTCCCAGCCATTAAAATGGTCTTTCATCTGCTGTTTGAACAGCTCCACAGTGCTGGCGGTGGTGTCATGCTCCTTCGCCGTAGTTGTCTGCAGCCCAACCATCGTCCTTCCCGACGGTGACTCGACGAAGAAAAAGCCGTCCACCAGCGGAAAGTTTCTGTCCCACGGTGCGTACAGCACCTTGTAGTTCACATCAACCTTCGGAGGATTGTACTTCCCAGCAGTTAATTCAACTGAACCGTCTGGATGCGTTTCAGGGTTTGATTGCAGCACGCATGGCCGTGGCGCACGTCCATTTGGTGGCTTCAGCGGCTTGAGCCTCTTTATTATATTATCCACAAAGGCCCTAATCGTGAATGCGTGCACTCCATATTGTTCCAGAGCTTCTGATAAAAGCGAATCCCTCAGCCTCAATACTTGGAACAAAAAATCATTTTGCTTGCCTACCGCCGTCAACTTTGAGATTAGTCGATGTCCGAGGCGTAAACAAACCGGCAGGTTAACAAACGTCTCATCACCGCCCTCTCCTCTAAATCGGACAGCCTTCACCAGCTTGTGAGACGCGTCATTCGCAGGCACCATTTTCCCTTCGCCCATTAAAAGGTAATTATGAGCATTCGAAGCGTTAATCATTCCCACGACCTCCGTTGTCACAGTGATTCGTTTCCTATACTTATCGTCATCAAAAATGCTTCGTGGAATCGGTCCCACATAATCCATGCGTTTGTTGATCTTCTCGCAGTATTCTGTCTGCTCCCCTGCAGAATCAGCACGCGTCTCCCAAGCACACATCGCCTTCACATCGTTCTCGTCAGGGCAATTCATAACGACGAGGTCGGCACCCTTTTGCTTCGCCCATCCTTTGAAGTTATTTTCGTTCGGAGATGACAGCACAATGATGCCCCATGACTTGGAGGGCGGATAATCCCCCGGCGGTTCATAACCCTTTTCATCCACGTCGTAGATAACATACCCCTTCTTTCCACGCCAATCCAAATATTCCATAAGGTCGGTAATATTGACCTTACCCTTGTATTTTGTCACCGTTTGCTCTTCTTTTTCAAACACGAATGCCAAATCCCCCCCAAAGCAGTACACAACCACCTGGAGTTTTGCGGTGTCGTAGTGGAGCAACCTGTACAGGAGGTAGGAGCCGACACCCATTGACTTCCCGATGCCGGGTGTTCCGATCAAGAGACGCCGCTTCACTTTACGCACGCCTCTAACTGCGGCGCCAAACTCTCCCTCTAAATCGCCCTGGACAACCCGCCACACCCGCTCCACCTCACGGTTAATGTAGCAATCTTCAATGTCCTCTCTCTGCCTCAGTGAGTAAGGCCATTCATGCTCGGACGAGAGTATCACCAGCCTGGGGCGCGGTGGGACAAATTGCCCCGCATCTTCCACCGGCAGAAGAGTTATGCCATCCCGCGTGTAATCCCACAGCTGTGCCGGTGGTTGGCCCTCACGCACCTGCATTCGCACCACCATATTATTCCCTTCGCCCTCTGAAAATTCCAAGACGTGACTCCACTTCGCGTTGAACACAGAGAGATAGAACCCCTCCGGCAACGGCCGGTTGAAAATTTCATCTATCCGTTTTGCCCTTTCTTCCTCTGCCTGCCTTGCCTTTTCGTTTGCCTCCGCCGCGGCAAGGGCTGCGTCAAGCTCCCCCTTAGCAAGAAGAGTAACCGTGTCCTTCTGTGGAAATTCCTTCCATTGAGCGAGGGAAGACACGCCTTGGACCGCAAGCTTGCGTGCGTCGGCACGTAGATTGTACACATCTTCAATCGCTTCTCTTACCGCTTTGAAAGATGGCAATGACAGTATTAGGCGCAGATCATCTTCATTTGTGATAAATGTATCGGGGCTTACAATAAAAGATTCGATCGGAAGGTTCTCGTTGGCATCAACGACTCCTCTGCCGCCCAATGCATTACGGAGGAAGTCATTCAGTTTGATCTGGGTGAGTTGTCCTTCTCTTTCAAGCAGTACTCCTTTCACAGTACTGTGAAGGGTCCAGCGCGGGTCCGCAGGTGCTTCGACCCTCCGGCGCTGTGCAGGGGGTGCTGTGGAATCGCCGCTGTCGGGTTCCGCCCTTGCATGCCGCGGGGGCAGCGGCACATCAGTGGCAGGGCTCTCCGCAGAAGCGTTAAGTTGTTGTTCATTCCTTCCAGGCATTTCTTTCCTTGTTTGTTTTACTTATTTACTTGTGGTTGTTGTTGGCTTGAGTTGCAGCCGAGCACCAACCACCAGCCAAAAGACGAATGAGAGGCAGAAAGAAAGAAAAAAAAAATAGTCACACACACACTCAAGCAGAAGAACCACCGCGACGGCAAGTGGGCGCCCCACGCACTCACCGGCAGAGTGTTGGGGAGAGTCAGCGACGACAGCAACAGCGTGGCGGGTGCGGGGGGTTGCCGCCCGTGCACTGCGCTCGCCACGCCGGTGAGAGACACGCCACCGCACACACACACGCACACGTGGGAGGAAAACGCAGCGCGGAAGCCCCCAGAGCCAATGACACAAAGAGCAGTCACCAAAAAAAAAAAAGCATCCTACTGCCCCACACGCAGCAGCACTAGTGTTCAGGCAGAAGCACGAAGAAAGGCACGCCTCCGCAAAGGCAACTCTCGTTGCCCACTCAACCGCAGAATTCTCACTGCGCCGGCCGCTGCTGCAGGTAAACGGGAACCAGTCCACGCCGTCATGTCCCCCGCCACCGAGCCGTAGCCCTCGCCCGCAGTTGCGTCGCGTCGCGGGGCCTCTGGCGCCCACTTCCCGAATGGGGCCCCGCACCAAAGGGGGAAAAGGAAACACGTGGCAAAGTTTGCCCCCTAACCCTCTCCCTGGGGCGCAAGAAAACCCACCGAGTTCCACAATTACAACGCCCCGCGCCCCAAACAAATGAAGAGAAGCGCACTTTGAGAAGAGGGATAAAAAGAAGAAGTCTCCCCAAACCGTTCAGCTTCTCCTCTTTTTTTTACCCGACCAAGCACGCTGCGGTGCGAGATGCAACACCACCCGCAGCACTTCGGTGGCGGTAGTGCACCCCACGCACGCACTAACCGCCGAAGGATACCCTCCCAAACGCACTCGCCCAAGAGGCAACGTCGCCGCGCCCCTCCCGCTGCGTTGGCGCCGCCCACACTGTTTCCCCGCCACCCCCTCCCACCGCACGGTGCACGGCCGCAGGCCGGACGTATCCCGGGGGAAACACACGAATGTGCGACACATCTCATCGGCCTCGGCACCCCATG